TGATCAACTATAAGAGAACAGTATACCCGGCACACATGAATCAATTTAGAGGATTCAAATAACATCTTTTGAATTGAATTCTACACAACAGTGAGCTCCAGCGGGAGAGGTACAAACCCCCTTCTTTGTAAAGAAACGAAGTACAAAGAAACAACAAATCTAGTCATGTTTTGTTTATGTTTTACTCATTCCCAATTAGTGATTCCCAAATGTTAATGGTTAGTTAAAGTATAATATAAATAATTAGTTATAACAATCGGTTAGTTACTTATATCAACTAAGACTTCTACCATTTCCTACTGACATCTAAACGCTAATAGGTTCGTTATTGTCTTCATATTTTCCGTACAACTTTTTTGTTTGTTTTTGGATTGGTAACATTCCCATCACTCAGTTTACTCATCAAAGAAACGTTTATTTGGGGACAATTCTTGCTATGATAAAACTGTAGATGGTTTATATGATATAGAAAACATCAGTTCATATGAAAACCGTTTTGGAAGAAAAATGAGTCTAAAAACCAACATATGTAACCTCATTTGTGGGCAACAATCCACTACTATTTGATTAACAGTGCATCAATCGGTAAATATAACCCATAACCGGAGATCGATAGGATGGCAAAGTCCACAGGAACCTGATAATAACAATAAATGATGTAATTTCAAAACTCCTTTTAGTTTCTAGACGACATAAGAAAAATTATTTCAAATACCATACCTGGTTCTCATCACTCGTTGCCTAGTGCAATATCATTCCCTCCTTGGGCATCATCAGTACATAAGTATCAGATAAGTACAAAAAGTACGCACAGCATTGGGTATGCACATGATACGGCATGTGAAGGAAAGGAAGCATTGGGTGCTTTGCATTAAGCCGATCATATGCTGTTTGGGAAAATCTATAAAAATATTGTTTTGCCACTTTTGTAAATGATGTTAGGACCCAAAAGAAATCACGGACACAATGGGCGGAATTGTTCATCTTGTCTCATTGGCCTAGGGTCTGGAAAGTTTAGATGAGGGAAAATGGTTAAGTAGGAAACTGGCAGAGAATGGCTAGCAGTTGCATTATAAAGATATAACTCTGACATTCCAAAGAACCTAGTCTAATAAGCTGAAAAGACATAGTTTAAACAAGTTTGGTAAAATTTATGGTTAAATTGCAAATCACCCTGTATAACTGTGACTGTTGTGCAACTGGCAGTGTTTACAACTTTGGTTTGTTGCTAACCCCGTAAAGCTTTCAACTTTATAATAAATAAGCCCCTGTTATTAATTCCTAAAATTAAACACAAGGATTACTAGACATAAAGTAAAGTTTAGGCAAACTATTTGCTAAAATAAAAATTAGAGGGTTTGTCTGTCACATTAAGAGCTCAGTGCATAGTGTAATCCATGTAGTCGACCTCATGACCTACGGAAATAAGGTTATTGTTGTTTGTCACACATTGAAAGTATATGCAGACTATTTGCCAAAGTTTAAACTACAGGGATATAATGTAGAAAGTTTAAACAAATTAATTGCAAAAACTGAAATCATGGACTATTTTGGCCAAGAGGCCAGAGTTAAATTGAGTAATATTCATTTTGATCAACATTAACTGATAAAAGTGTTAAAAGTATCCAAAAAAGTGTGCAGTAGATAGATCACAATTTATCATTAAAGTATGCCATGTACACCAAACTATCATTGAAATAATGTCTCCCAAATTTCAAGCATAGGGGACCCAGTGTTCCTACCAGTACAAATGATTGAATATTAAACCAACATTCAAATAGGTAAGGTCTAAAATTGTGGCTCGGTTAATAAGAAAGCTGCCTACCTGGCTACTACTATTGGACTCAAGATGATTTGGACTGCCTGCAAAAGAAATTTGAAAGAGTTAATATATCATACTATGATTCACATAGATTTCCTAAATAATGAAAAAAAAAAAGTTTCAATTTAACTCAGAAGTGAGGGAAACAAAAGTAATAAGCTTCACTTAAAAGGTTAGCATGATTAACACTGTTTGCGAAAGAAATCCAAATAATGAAGACGCTACCACAAAATTTTCATGTTTTTTTCTGAATAGTTGCAATTTAAAATAGTAATTCCAATAACGAGTTTCATCCAACCCGACAGCCCCTCCCCCCCCCCTAACTTGATTATAGCATAGACCTAAAAGTGATAAAAATACAGCAACCAAATTGCAGAAACCAACAACTTGGCCACAGGCCTTTGCTTACAGTAAAAGAAAATAAAATTTTCTCACTAACATTCTTCAGGGATGGTCTGCATGCTAGTGACTCCATCTCTTCTAGGCGGAGAATCAGTTGTAGCTTGTTCCACAGCAGTAATTGTCGAAGGGTATTCCCACTCAGTCCTGTCAATCTCCATTCTCGGCAAATGACCATTTACCTCATAAGAACTATAGTAAGATGTACTACCAGGGCCAGACAATCCAAACTTATAGGGATTCATGTTCATTGACCAGTAGACACTTTCCTGGACAGAACATAAGATTATATAGTTATGTTCACAAACCAAAACAGAA